TTGTGAGCAGACCTAGTAACTATATAATCTTTACTTGATAAATAATTTCTATTATTCAAATGAAAAATAATGCTGAATAAGGAAATGATTATAAAGTTCTATAAAAAAAAAGTTACTGTAAAAGTATACTTTGTTTTTAATGAAGTGAAAATATAAGATTAATAATTTAAAAATTTTAAATCTCTAAATCACAGTTAAACAACACAAACATTTCTAACTAAGACTTGAAATTTTATTTCAATTAATCTAATATTTTAAGTTAATTTGTATTCAACTAAGAAGTTTATTTTAAATTTTGTGAATTTTTTGTAAAAGTTAAGTGAACAAAATGCTTAGAAAATTATTTAATTATGTTTCATTTGAATAAATTATTTTTATGCATTTCAAAGGCAGCTGGTTAAATTTAATATGTATTAATTACAATATGAACTTAAAACTTTCAAACAACATTTTTTAAATATTTTACTTTAAAACACTTACTTCTTTTAAATCATGCTTTAAAAATGCAACTTTTTTTTCTAATTCTCTATTTTCTCCCTGTAAATTCTGAATTGTTTCTTCTTGCTGAACAAAATTTTCTAATTGATTAAGAGTAATTCTAAAACAAATTAAAAATATTATAAGTTATGGGTTATATAAATTAGTGTCATATGTACGTAAAAATTCAGAAATAAGAAATTAATTTATATTAAATATATAATAAAAAAATTGGAATAAGATTATATAATTATTTTTCATTTATGGTTTATTAATAAATTCAATAGAAATATAATTAAAAATTCATGTTTAGTATTAGTATTCCAGTTTTAGAATAATTAATAATTGTTTATTCATTTGCAAATGCATTTTAGATCTCTTATTACTTATTTAGTTATACTAAATATGCATGTTATGTGAGATTCAAAACTAATATATTACTCATTAATTTAAAATTCCTTTTACATATTCTTGGTTTTTTTAAATTGAAAAAAAAAATACTTTTAAATAATGAATTTTAAGTCACAATATTGAAGAACTTTGCTAATGAATATCCTTGTAAGGAAATGTTATGAATAACAGAATCTTTGGAGGTGGTGATAATATTAAAAAAAAAAGTTTAATTAAACTTTGCTTAAAAAACTAACTTCTAAATTGGTTTTTCTTAATCTAGATGTATAGAATTTATTTGGAATTTTATTAATAACTAAATGGCATTTTATGAAATTTAATAGTTATCCTGCATTTATTTATTAATTTTGACATTAAATGACATTAAATTTTCTTTATGAAAAAATGTCTTCCATATACAAGCATGAATACTGACAAGAGTGCATATAAGCATTAAAATCAAGCATTATAATTTTTCAAATTAATGCAATATGATTATTCGTATTAAGTTACTTAAATTTTATTTTATTTTTGTTCTTTATTACTCACTAATTATTGTTACTATATGACAATATAGTAACAATAATTAGTACAATCACTATTAATTATATTTAATTAATAATTATTGAATTATTTAATATTGTCTGGATCTTTCCTCAGTTATTAAAAAGAATTATAAAATTTTACTACAGACTTAAATATAAAAGCGATGAAAATACTAGATTATTATTTCAAGAAATGGCTAAACAAAGTAAAAACAACAATAATAAACAGTTATGGCAATATAAATTTCGAAGAATATTAAACACTTTTGGAGTATCGGAACTATTATTTACAGACTCAATTCAAGATTGGAAATATGGTTACTCCCTGTTGATGGATTCTGCTATTGCTCAATCAATCAACAGAGATCAACTTTCTTTAGACCAAAGTAATTATCACCCTTGGTACAACAATATTTTAAATATCCCTTCCTTCCAACCATATATATGGCTACCACTTGATCTGAAGGTAAAACGATTAATAATTCAATTACGTCTAAACAAATATTCGATTCTTATTAATAATACTTATATAAATCTTTTAAATACACGCTGCCTGTTATGTCAACAAGAGGATTTTTCTATGATCCACCTCCTGCAAAATTGTCAACCCTTGGATAATATACGTGAACAATGTAATATCAAAAATATTTGTTGTTTAAATTCACCTACCGACTTCAAAAATAAATTAAATAATATCAATAAAAAAGATGCTTATAAAATTTTTAATTTTTTTGTAAAATATTCTGAAAAAATTTTCTGTAATACTTAACCACTGGCTCAACATCATGACCTAAATCTTAGAAAATGTATTATTAAGATAAATTATACTCTCTATTAGTTGTTTAAAAACATCAATTAATATCATATTGTTAAGTCATGTTGACTTACTAATTAATTTTTATTGAGTTTCTTATTATACAATCATGTAAAGTAAAATGTTAAATCATATTGTTATTTTGTATACCCCCAAAATAGGGGAAATTTTCCTTGGAAATAAAATATTATATTATTTAATATTGTAATTAAATTAATGTCACATATAATTATTACTATTGTTTTTCTTAATTATTTCATTTTATAATTTTAAATTCTCTTCATCTTCATCTGGTATTTTTAAATCATTTGTTTAATTTGCTTCCAGCAGAATGTTTCTTATATTGAGATTAGTTTTTATAATATTAAATATGAAATACAAGTAGCAACAAAAATGCTTGAATATTAAGTAATATAGTTTTTATGTTATAATGTCTGACTTATTATTTTAGTATATCAATTTCTTATGTTATTAAAGTTTAGAACTGAATATATAATTTAAAATATTTTAATAATAATAAATTAGAAAGTAACTGTGTGTAATATACATTAAGTGTAATCCATCACATTATAATTACATAATACTCACCTATATTTTTGATCTAACTCTTCATTTATGCTTTTTAACTTTAGTAAATCTCCTTCGAGCTTCTCTATTTGGTTTTGTACATCCGAAGACTAATAAAAATTAAACAAATAAAATAATTTTATAAATAAATACACACAGAAATACTCTGGATACATTTTCAGATAAATTTATATTAAGAAACAGTTTGTAATTCATAGTTTTTAATTGATATATTGATATTATTATTATTATTATTAGAATTTTAATTACTATTTACAGTATTAATTAAATGTAAGTAATTTTTTAACAGATTATTACAAAACTTTTGTTCTAAAATTTGAATTCATTCAAAAGAAGATAGAGAAGTGTTATAAGTATTTTTGTTTTCTTCTAGAAAAAAAAAATCTTTTGAAGAAAAGTATATCTAATGACATCTTTGTCTTTTAACCAGTTAAATTAAATGTTGTTTTCCTATTACAAGTTATACCTCCTTGTATGTTTCTTCATTATTTATGCTATTTCTTTTTTTTTTTATTAGTTTTGATCCAAAATATTCACTTTATATAACATACCTCAATTCTAAGATATATTTTTTTAATCCACTTTTGCTTGTTCCAAACAAAGATACATCTTAAAATCAAGTATCTTACATTCACAACGAAACAACCAACAGTTATTGTGAGCAGACCATACACAATAATACAACAATAATAGATGTTTTTGGCTATATTATGTTATCAGGTCATTTGAACTAATATAAACATCACTAAGCCCAATGTATTAATAATAAATCAATCACAGTAATTAATTGGGCTAATTAGGTGCTATTATTAATGATTAATTTATTAAGTAATTTGGTATTAGATGTAAATGTTCGATGCCATCTATTAAATTATTTAATAAGTTAATCATTAATAATAGCACCTAATTAACCCGATTAATTATGGCAATTGTTTGATTTATCATTTGAACTAATGTGATCAAATTCAAATAAACTTTTTTCATAAAGAGCAGTTAATTTAAACTCCTTTTTAATGTCTAAAATAGCTTCAAAACAACACTACTAGCATTAAAACAAATGGTTATTATATATGCAGAAGACAATGGAAATAAAGCTGCCAAACATTTTTATCTCTTTCATGATATTTGTATTGTTAGTCAATGTAGTAATTTGTTACCTAGTAAAATGTAATAAAAGTTGTCCCAAAATGAATGCAGAATTTCGATTTAAATTTCATGCCATTTTTCTCCCATTGAGTTGTTCAAAAATTTGAACAAACAACAAAAAGAACTGGTTGTCCAAACAGAAATTTGAAAAGTTATCAACAAAATTGAGCTGTAATTGTGTGAAAATGTAATTGAAAATTTTGTCAGAAGAATAAGAGAATGTTAGAAGAGTAGTGGTGACATCTGTTGAATATTCTATTTCATTATTAATTTCAATGTTTACCCTTTAAAATGATGTAACAACTTTGCCAATTAATGAATAAATAAAATGTTCTTTTTTAAAATTTAAATCCTGCATTACTTTTGGGGCACCTTATATAATTATTTATTTAAAAATTTTTCCTTCTATAAAAAATCTTAAAATTCAAAGTACAGCTTAGAATTAACATTTTAGAATTGAAGAACTATGGCATAAGCATTTTTATTAACCACATGTAATTTGTGTGCATTTTTTTGCCTTGCAGAATTAATCAATAACAGCTATTAGAAAAATGTATTTATATGAGTTACCCAAATAAAAGTGAAACTTCTTGTACAAGGGCTGTTTCTTTTTCAACCTCCAATAATCCATAAAACAAAGACAAATATAAATAACGAAATAAATTTATTTCCAAAAGTTAAATACAAATACAAACATGGTTACTTTTTGACATAATCAATGTAAAGATTGAGACATTTGGCTATATGGAAAGAAGCTTTGAAATCCCCTCCTCATAGAATTTTGCCGCCAATGACTTGAGATGGACCCTAACATTGTTTTGAAGATCATCATTCTACCTACCTATGCCATGTTTTCAGTTCAGGAAAGAGGTGGAAGTCTTCACACATTAAAAAGTTCCAATCTGGGTGGAAGTCTGAAAGGTGGAAGTCGTCACCACCTTTAAACATCCTGCATATAGCCCCGAGTGGTGTGCTGTTTGCATGTGCTGAAGCAAGTTGACTATGTGGTGGAATCACCCAACCTATATTTCACAAACTCAAAATGGCCATCAAGAATAAGCAGCCTGATGTGCTGTCAAATGGGGTTATTCTGTTGCACAACAATGCATACCCAAGTTGCGCCAAGATTTGTTATGGTGCTTCCATTGGAAGGTCCTGAACATCCCCTTTAGCCCGACCTGGTATCTTGCAACTACACATCTTTGAAAAAAAGCTCTCAAGGGCTGCCAGTTGTCAACAATGCTGAGGTCCAAGAAGCCGTTGAAGACTAACTCCTCTGCCTGATGCTCTTCACTGGGGATATCCAAAGGCTAGTGATGTTCTGGGGCACTTGCTTGAACTGACATGATGACTATGTGTAGTGGATATGTATGTAGTCCATGTATCACTATTACTTCCTGTATGTTCACATATTCCAACCAATAAACAATTACAGAAAGAAACTAAAAGTCTCACTTTCATTTGGGTGATCATTATATGTTTACCATAACCAAAGTGTTATAAATGACTTCTCAATGTAAAGAGTACTTATTTAGTTTAATTCATTTGTTATATTATTAAATTCTAAGACAATAATTCAATGTGCCTATCATAATGTATGATTTTTAAAACCTGTATTTACACTAGTACGAAAGATTTCTGAGAGAAAGCGTGATCAAATAACATCAGCCAAGTTTCTTTTTTTTTTGTTAAAGCACAGCAAAAAATCTCTATCTGTTTTAATGAATGTTATTTGAAAACATATCAAGTTCTGTTATGTAAAAATTGCCTAATAAAAATCTGATGTGAAAACTATGTACAAAACTATGAGAGATTCTTCATTAATAAGTGTAAATATGAAAATCTTTAACAATTTTTATATTAAATTATTAATAATGATAATTTTTATAAAATTCCATAAAATTAATTATAATTAAATAAATAAATTAAATAAATTAAAATTCCATAAAATAATAGACTGTATTTCTTGAAATTTATTGTAAAATACTTACAGAAATATTATTGGCCATCCTTGTCTGTTTAAATAAAAAGAAATACATATTAATTTTAAAATATAAAATTAGACATAAACTTATATGAGAATTGATTGATAAATAAGTTCTTTACTTTTATAAAATTAGTTTGGGAAGAAGTAGAATAATGTAATGTTTTAAATAATAATAAAATTCATTTATTTTTTTAATCATATATATTAGTTTTTCAATATAATCACCATTTAAATTGACATATTTTGCCATATATTCTATTCAATTTTTTATTCCATGCACAAAAATAACTTTCAGATGTTTACTTGATCCTTTCCTATAAAGTGACTTGAACTTTGGCATCCAATGAAAAATACTGACCTTTTAGCACCTTTAATTTTGGGAAAAGCCAGAATTCTGGTAGTGTCAGATTTGGACTGTGATGAGGAATAACCCATAACTTCAGGTTATTAAATGTCTTCATTGTTTCCTTACTGCAATGTAATGTTGCATTATCATGGCACAATAAACTGACTGTTCTTTCTGAACTTACTCTGTGATATAGCTTTTAAGGGCTCGTAGTTTTACAATATGTCACCAAACTCTACCTCAATATTCTATCTCTTCCCAAACTAATTTTATAAAAATAAAAATTTTACTTATCAACCACACTTGTATAAATCAATTGTTTATTCTGTAATATTTTCTCAAAATTAAGTTTACATTTAAAAACTTATAAAATATTCACACAAATAAGCTTATTTGAACAAAAATTGAATATTTTTATTACAGTATCAAAAGAATAGTATTGAAACTGATAAACATTTTAGCACTATGCCTTTATATACAATGGTATTCAATGAGTTCATGGTGAATTTATAGTAATGAATATATAGTAACAGGCTGAGTTTAGATGGCTTTCTCTGCTTAAAGCAAAATATTCACTTTGCTTTGTTATTGCCATGGTTCAACTGTTTAAACAATGTCATACATAAAAACAGAAATTCACTTTACCTATTAGTACAAAGATAACCTTGTCAAAACTTGTAAAAAGACAGGAAAATGAATCAAATTTGATAATCTGAAATCTGATAATATACCTTTAATAAAATCATCCTCTGAACTTAGTAAAGGAATGGTATTAATACCTCAACCATTACTAATATATATTAAAATGTAAAAACAATTATAATTATGCAGTTCAGCTGTAAAAATCTATCAAAGTGATATGAAAAACCCTAATACTGTGAAATATTAAGCATTCTTCACACAATAGAAATGTACAGTGTAATAATCATAATTAATTATAAATTAAGTTCCTGTATAATTTACTGTGATATAGAAGGATTATCTACTGATAAAAAAATGTGATATTTGTTTTTCCAAATATTCTCTACTACTTATGTAATTATTCTACTATTTATATAATACCATAATCATATTAAATTCTGCTAAGTGAACAAAACTTTTCACAAATCTACACATAAATTAGAATTAGTAATATTCCTATCAGAATGTTACTAATCTTGATTTATTTGATTGAATGATACTGAAGAGAAAAAACACACTAACAAAGGCAACAATGTAATTATATAATAAATCAAAAAAGCAAAATAAACTATATTTTTAACAAGTTTGCTTTTTTTTTTTAAATTAAAAAAGACAAAATTTTTTTTCAAAATAGTTTATTTTGCTTTTAGTTTTATAATTACAACATTGTCTTGTTATTTTCTTAATTTCAACCAAATAACATGCAAACAAAAGCCTTCTTGTGCTACATATTAACAAAAATATGACAAAAATTCATGTATGACTGATACAAAGCATAAAAATACAACAAATTTAGTTCAGGATACAAAATGGAAGAGAATAGTCAAAAGAAATTAGAAAAGTCTACATTATTATACAAATTTTACTTGTATGTTACAGCCTCATATATTTGTTGTTAGATTGCTATTCATTGAATAATATAATTAGAAAAGAGATAATTGAAATAGATTAATTTTATTTTATATGCATTATTTTATGTAAGATGCTATTTTAATAAAGTCAATACATCATAATACAGATGTAACTCTGATTTATATAAACCTACATGTTCTTGAAAATCTCTTGTAAATCAAAATCTTAGGAATAAGGAAAAATTTTTCCATTATTTCTTATGCTAGAAATATATACTCTGTTTTGGCATTATCCAGTTACCCTATCATGTTTTTTAATAAATAACATCGCAATCAATGGAAGAAAGACTCATTTAAAATACCCAAATTCCAGCAGTAACATGTGATATTAGCACTAGAACACTAGCACTTACATGTTACTATTGTTCAATTAGTGCTTATGACTTGTTTGCAGTGTAATATTTTTTATATCTCATATAAGGTTCTCCATACCTGGGCCAATGAGTTGCTGTCTCTAATAGTTGATGAGCATTTCTTCCTTTCCTGCCTTGTAAATTTTGATTTTTTCCAGATACCATATTTTCAAAAATTTGTTTTATTTTCAAATGACTACAGAAACTGAAGATGAAGGCATAAGAACTCTGAAAATGTTAGTTCTAGTTATAATATCACATGTTACTGTTGGAGTTTGGATATTTTAAGTTATTATATGTAATAGAGATTATTTACAAATCTTCTAATCCGAATACTGGTATTTTGAATAAAATCGTAGAGATTATTTATATAATGGTAGAAAGGATTGTGATACAAAGTAAGATTCATTAACTCTTTATGCTCTGAAAATTTCTTCTTTCTATGTACCCAGAGACAAAACTGTTATCATCTCTCATGCTATAAGGGAAATTTGTATAGTAAATTCATTAAGGTTTTGCTATACAAATTACACTAAGGTTTTGCTATACTTTCCCCTCTTAAGGTCACACAAGATTTTTTCCAATCCTGTGTTTAACAAGTTAAACTGCACAATTGCATTGGAACAAATAGCACTATCCTTAGCAAATAAAGACATAATGTCAACAAAACAAAAAACTGGGGAACTAGAACCTATGGGCCAATTAATCAGAGCATGCAAGAATTCCAAACTAATTGCACTCATGACTAGAATATTTTATTCTTTTAACTATTGGTTAGTGTTCATTGTATCAATTGTTTCATCTCAAATTTGAAAAAAAAATAAAAGGAAACAGTTTGTTGTATGAATTCTTGTAGATTAAGCACTTGTAAATTGGAATCACACTGTAATACATTATATGCAGCCTTAATGTAATTTGCCCTACAAGAAATTTATTGTCCAAGATTAACTAATATCTAACTATGTTGGTTTCCATATATTTATGAAAAAATGAGAAAGAAAATATTATGACAAATGTTCAATCATTAAATCATAAAAAGATATAGAAAATGAAGCTAAAAGAAAATCAGTGTCATTTAACATCTGCTCTCTATTTAAAAAATTTCTTCTCAATTTAAAATCACCATTAAAAACAACTGGCACTAATTGTCTAACATAGAATGATCAGTTCAAGTCTATTTCAGCATAAAACATAGATGATGCTTTAATTGTTATTTTATTTGATAATTTTATAAATTCAATTTACTACTAATAATTGTTTTTGTTAATCAAAACTTCATATTTTAATGAGCGAAATAAATATAAAATTTTTTCAACTCACTGTTTCTATAGAATTTCATTATTATATTTAATATCTTTTTTTTTATTATAGTATTTGGAATATATTAAATGTTTAGAATTTCATCTTGTAATGTTTAATTTAAAATAATCTAATAATTCTAAGCTATAAATGTCATTACACTCAAGTAAGAAATTAATAATAAAATATATGTTTACAAACATTGATCAGTAACAGTTAAAGAGCCTTACTAAAGACTGTTTTAGTGCATTTTTGTTTTCAGGTAATGTTTAAGAAGAATTATTTGTGTATTGTTTTTATTTTTTCTATTTTTTAAAAATTCATTAGCAAAACATTTAAATTACATATTGTAAGATATATAAAATCCAAAACTCATTAAGTTTAAATATATATAATTGATGTTGATATAATTTGAACTTAATTGTATCAGTCAAGGTAAACTTGAATCAACTGTGTGATAGTAAATTTTCATATATTACAAAAAATTATAAAGATATTATAATTATTAAAAAAAGTAATCATCATTAGATAATAAAATATCAAATATGATGAATATAATACAGTAGAGCGTCGATTATCCGAATCAATNGAAATTTTTCTCCGTTGCGTGTCGCTTCGCGTTGAATTTTCGTCGATGTTAAGCCTAACGAAGACTATTGTATCGTTAAAAATTATTTTTTTATTTTGTACCAACAAAATAAATATATTGAAAAATATAAAAACAATAAAAAATTATACTTCAGAAGTTACTTTAGTATCAAAAACAAAATATTTGAGTAGCCCAAGACATAGCCAAAGATTGCAGCACCACAGCACTGGCGAAAATTTAAATTTGCCGATTGGAATTCTTTCAGATGATTGACGTTTCGGATAATCGATGCTCTACTGTATTGGCCTGAGAGTTAAGAATTTCAGCTACCTCATTTTATGAAATAAATATACAAGTATAATATGCAAGAACAAACTTTTATAAATACATTACCTTATCAGGCTGAAGACATCACAGAATTTCACAGGAAAGAGGAAAGCAGGAAAAATACACAATAAGCAATACAAAACAAACATTTCACAAATAAACAATAAAAAATTTAATTTACATTAGTGCTCATCCACACATTCACTATTTACCAAATGCAGAGCAAACATTCAGCAAACATCAAGTAGCAAGAAGGTTTACTTGTGTTTGGTATTCACCATTTCCTTATTCTTTTCAGTAAGTTGTGCCAAATCAAAGGAGATAGATATTCATCTACACACATTTGCGTATTCTCTTGTTTTTGTTCATCAGTAATGCTATTTTAACATTTTTTAAACTAGACCTAGACTATCCACTGCTTTCTCAGCAAATAAATGATCTAAACCTAGACTTTTAGTTTTGAATTTAGTTTATTTTTTTCAATTTGGTTTATAGTTTAAATATTTATTTTGTTTTTTCTATTTATTTTTTTTCTGATTGTTTTTTGCAACATGGTTTTATTGTGTTGTTTTCAAAAACAAAATTCCCTTCTTTTTTATTTTTACATTTTTCTTCTTTGGAGAAGTGATATCATACATTATCATCTTCTTTTAGGTTTTTTCATTAACAAATATGAACTACTGAATTTATAAAAACAGTAGCAAAAATTATTATTTGAGATTAATCAATTTTCTAGATCTAGAATAAACATTTGTTGTTTCCATAATGAGCCTGGTAATTAATCAAATGTGTGTACATATGTGTTCACAGAGTGACAAACAGTTCGACAAAAGGGTGATATCAGGCATTTGGCAAATAGTGAGTGTGTAAACTTAGTTAAAAAACTATTAAAATTTAAATTTAATAGTAAACTTCAAATTCAGTNAAGTTACTTTAGTATCAAAAACAAAATATTTGAGTAGCCCAAGACATAGCCAAAGATTGCAGCACCACAGCACTGGCGAAAATTTAAATTTGCCGATTGGAATTCTTTCAGATGATTGACGTTTCGGATAATCGATGCTCTACTGTATTGGCCTGAGAGTTAAGAATTTCAGCTACCTCATTTTATGAAATAAATATACAAGTATAATATGCAAGAACAAACTTTTATAAATACATTACCTTATCAGGCTGAAGACATCACAGAATTTCACAGGAAAGAGGAAAGCAGGAAAAATACACAATAAGCAATACAAAACAAACATTTCACAAATAAACAATAAAAAATTTAATTTACATTAGTGCTCATCCACACATTCACTATTTACCAAATGCAGAGCAAACATTCAGCAAACATCAAGTAGCAAGAAGGTTTACTTGTGTTTGGTATTCACCATTTCCTTATTCTTTTCAGTAAGTTGTGCCAAATCAAAGGAGATAGATATTCATCTACACACATTTGCGTATTCTCTTGTTTTTGTTCATCAGTAATGCTATTTTAACATTTTTTAAACTAGACCTAGACTATCCACTGCTTTCTCAGCAAATAAATGATCTAAACCTAGACTTTTAGTTTTGAATTTAGTTTATTTTTTTCAATTTGGTTTATAGTTTAAATATTTATTTTGTTTTTTCTATTTATTTTTTTTCTGATTGTTTTTTGCAACATGGTTTTATTGTGTTGTTTTCAAAAACAAAATTCCCTTCTTTTTTATTTTTACATTTTTCTTCTTTGGAGAAGTGATATCATACATTATCATCTTCTTTTAGGTTTTTTCATTAACAAATATGAACTACTGAATTTATAAAAACAGTAGCAAAAATTATTATTTGAGATTAATCAATTTTCTAGATCTAGAATAAACATTTGTTGTTTCCATAATGAGCCTGGTAATTAATCAAATGTGTGTACATATGTGTTCACAGAGTGACAAACAGTTCGACAAAAGGGTGATATCAGGCATTTGGCAAATAGTGAGTGTGTAAACTTAGTTAAAAAACTATTAAAATTTAAATTTAATAGTAAACTTCAAATTCAGTAAATAATAGTAGACAAAAAAAATGCATTACAGAAAAATTTATATTTAAAAAATCATTCTATTAATTCATGTTTTAAAAATAAAAAAAAATTATTATTTTTGATAAGCATTATTATCTAGTAAATAAATACTAACAAAATAAATAATATGCATATGATAAATTAAAATCAATGATATTTGAATGCTCATATTAGTATTCTAAATACAATTTTCTGTTTTAAGTACAGAAAAATAAAATTAAAATAATTTATCTTATAATACCAGCAGATTGCATTTTAGTGGCATCATCATCAAGTATTTAGAAATCAAACATTTTTTAAATTTATCATCAATTCTCATAAAATTTAAATAAGTCAAGCATTTCATTCTTAAAGTTCATAATGTGATTTAATAGAAATACTACATAATAGTATTTCTTGTAGATTTTGGAAATATATAATAAAATATTTCCTAATCTAAATATATATTTTACTTTTAAATATGATCTATATCATTTATTAATAGAGAGGTTGCGGACAATGTTTTCATTGCAAAAACATGTACGTCGGACGTTCAGCGCCACCTTCCTGTAAGCCTAGAAGTTTGACAATGGCATTTGGTATGTTGAGCATGATTCCACTGATGTTCCAAACACCATTGTCAAATTTCTAGGCTCACAGAAAGACGGCACTGAACATCCGACATAGACGTTTTCGTGATGAAATTGTCGGCCGCAACCTCTCTAATATTTGTTTCATTAATATCTCTTGAATCAAATGAAATATTACAATGCAAAGTCATTTCAGCAACTTCGAGGTGCCCACCAACAGAGTAAAAGAGTAGGATAATTTTAAGAAAAGCAATATTTCAGTATCATATTTTCATATTTTCTTTAAAAATGTTAAAAGACTTCAATTCAAAGACTGTTGACATTCAATTTTTGTAATTTTTTTTTCTTTTTTAATTTAAACTTCCTTCTTAATTTTTAATGTTAATTTTTATTTATTCCCATAGTTTCCAAGTGAGGAACTTCGAAAAAAAATGTAACATGTCCATTAAGAAAAACTTGACATATTGAAATTTTATTACATAAACTTAAAAATTAATTCTTTTGAATTCATTTTTAAGTTTGTCAACATAAAAAATAATCATAACATGCATTTTCTCTATAATATCATCATTATGTCATCACTTTATTTTTATCAACATAACGATCATTTTCTTTTACAGACTATATTCACAGAGATATATTTATACTGAATTTTTCTTCTCGCATTTCTTAAAGTCATTTTATTTATTTACGTTTCCCATGTTAAAGTAAGACTATATATTATTAAATTTTGAAAACTCAAATTTAGCATACCTCATCTACATTTGACTTGACATTATCTTTATACAAAAGCCTGGAAAAAAATTAAACGTTACATAAGCTTTAAATGCCATGAATTATAAAACTAAAAATATAAGTTCTTAAGCATTTTAAGAATATAAAAGAGCNACATGTTAATGCATTCTTCTGTTAAGCAAACCTAAATTTTAAATAAATAATTTTGTATTTTACTTAAAATTTTAAAAAGTTATGTAAACTTTGCAAAAAACTTCAATAAATAAAATGCATTCACTACTTACTTGTAATTGTTCATCTCTTAAAGGAAGTTCATCATCATCATCATCATCATCATAGCTTTCATTCCATTCTAAAGTTACTGAACGATTAACCCAAGCTCGTTCTGTCTTTGTATCTATACCATAACCTACCATCTGAAAACAGAAAAGTCCAAGATCAAATTTCAATTTACATTATTTTGAAAAGTTTAAAAATATTTCAATTTGTATCTATACCATAACCTACCATCTGAAAACAGAAAAGTCCAAGATCAAATTTCAATTTACATTATTTTGAAAAGTTGAAAAATATTTCAATTATTAAAATTTCATTATTTTTTTCAACTATTTACGAATTTAATTTTATTGCAATTCTAAGTAGTTCTAACATTTAATAACTCTAATTATGAAAAAATGTAGCAAAACTTCTTTTGAAAGTTTTACTTTTTATTTATTCCTCATTTTTTTAAGAGAAAATTTATTACAAATAAAAGGCAAGAAAGTAAAATTCCTGGACTTTCTTTTCCTAATAACTTGTTTTATATTATTTAATAAATGAGGAGGAAACTTTTATCTTAAGATTGAAAGAAGAATCATCAGTCATGAAACTGCATTGTGATACTTAATTTACTGATTTTCCAATAAGGTATTAAGATTTGGTATCAAAGATGGTGTTTACTGATTTAATTATACCCTTTCCACCCATAAAGATGGCAAAAAACAAACATCGTAAACCTTCTCTAACTCGAAACTCCAAGAGGCAGGAAATACTTCAAGTTACAGATAATTCAAGATAGAAAATACCAAATATTTAATGGCTTGTATCTCAAAATATTGGCAAAATTGATATCAAAAACAATATCTATCATTCTATTCATATCAATATGTAGAAACAAATCTTAATAATTAAAAAATTTAATTACCATATATTAAAAATGTTTAAATATGCAATATTTTGAAACAGATCATAATCTAATTTTGATAGCAATAGTGCCTATTATTTTTGATATTATTTAGAAAAAGTGCCTATTATTATAGGCACTTTTTCTATCAAAAAGCAATTAGAAATAAATTTTTTAAAATATAGGTGTACCACCTGTATTTAAGCAATTTATTGTTTAGAACAGCGATTCCCAACTGAAGCTATGCACTTGGTAGTTTAGGGGTACGAGAAAAAATTAATAATGGCAGATGAACCATAAGAATATTCGGATTCTGCATTGAGGCCTTTGGCATCATCACAGCACTCGATGCTTAGTTTTAAAATTAAAATATATGTAATTGTATGGTGCCATATAATTGACAAAGATGCCACTGTTGGACAAACATGCAAAATAAAACTTAGCAAAAATGAAAAATGGAAAATAAACTTAGGAAAATAGACTGCCAAGGGATATGCAAGTCAAAAAAGTTGGGAACTGCTGATTTCCTGGTTTCAAATTTAGAACATCCATAAATTAAATGAATAACTGAAAAAATTATAACTAATATCAAAAATAAAAATGGATGTTTTGTAAATTAGAAAAAATTGTTATTAGTTTCAAAAGTTCTTTATTATAGATTGCATCAATTTAATTATATAAGTAATTAAATTTTAAAAATTAATTGTATAATTATTTATGATTTTAATTTAAATATTACCTATAATCTCCCGAATAAGTAAATCCAACAAATGGTAAGTGATTGCCTGCAAATGCCTTTACAGATGGAAAAGTTTCTTCTGTACTATCATCCTTTTCAATTTCTTCAAAATTGCTAGTATCATCATCACTAGATAACTCAGGAACTACAGGGGGTACACCTATATTACAAACAAATTAATTTTAATTAAAAATTGTAATTAATTTTATGAAAAATTAATGTATGTTAAATGTAATTTACATTCTCTAATGTTATCAAATTCCCACTGATCATTTTGAAAAAAAGGATGTCTTTTTATTTCCTGAACTCCATTTTTTCCTAACCTGTGAACTCTAGAATAAAAAAAGTTATATGTTAAAAATAATTTGTGATTTCAAATTACAAGAAAATATTCATATTTACCTTTCAGTTAAAAAAGAACAAATTAAATGCTTTGCTTCTTTTGAAATATCTACTTCATCTGGAAAGCGTAAAGAATTTTTATGGTCCATAATTTTACCATATGTACCGACTAGAGATTCTGCATAAAATGGTGTGTCACCTGAAAAATTATATTTACAGTTTTCCTATTATGCAATTTTAATACAGAAATGTAAAGTTATATAAAAATACAAGCAATTATTTATTACAACACTGTCACAATGCAGAGCTGCAATTTTTAATCATTTTTTTACATTAAAAAAAAAGCATGTCTTCCGGTCTAGACCTGAAATTTATGTATAGTTAATTGAAGCCTATTGTCCCTAAGCTTTCCATATCTTGTCTCAAGTTTCATCTATCAAATTCTGTTCTCAAGATTAATGAAGCTGACATACAACAGTGGGGATGTACAACACATCTACTATTTGAAAATTGTAGCCCAATACGAAACAACTTGAGAAATGTTACATTAATATATTTCATGTATAGAACATAATTTTTTTTAAAATATAAATTCTTTATTTTTATATTAAAAAAAATAATATTCAGCCAAAAATAATTATTAAAAAATATAGCTTTAAAATTATATGTATGATAGATAGATAATATTTTATAGTGTGAAATGATTACACTATGTCTTAAAGAGAACAGAAAAATTTTTATTACAAAATATAAAAGTTTTAGTAATTTATTTTGAAATTATACATATGGACTTAAAAAGTTTTCAGAGTTCTTCATATTTACTTTTTCAAAATATGCAATTTTTTTATATGGATATATATTTTTTCATTAATAACAGTTTTTCAATAACTAACACCATGTACAAACACCATTATCAGCGTTTTTCTACTTGGACCTCCCCAACAGGTGAATATAAAAACCAAATTGATTACATGTTAATAAGAACAAGATGGAGATCATCAGTAAATAATGACAGAGCAAGACCTGGAGCATACTGCAACTCTGATCATAAGTGTAAGATGGCCGATCCGGGGGAGATAGGGGGCTTGAAACCCACTTCACGGCACCTGTGTAAGGTTGCCGTCTCCTAGGTGGGATCTATTAATCCCGCGTCAGGATGGACCNCAGGTGACCCCCCTATAACACTGTTGATAATTCTATTTTATATGAATTCCATGTTGTATGAGTCACTTAGATTTTACAAATATGTGAGCCATTCACAGCCTGGCACATGCATTTGTAAAATCTAAGTGACTCGTACAACATGGAATTCATATAAAATGGAATTATCAACAGTGTTATAGGGGGGGTCAACTGTATTATTAAATCATTTCTATGTAAGCTATACATAAATATAAATACTGCTTCAATAAAGTCAATTATCAGTTCTATAGCCATCCTCTAGTTAACTTTTGAAAGGGGAAATGTTTTGTTTACATTTGAATTACTATATATATTGAAAACTAGGATTGCTTACTACAAGTTTCAGTTACAGATTATATATTTTTAAAATAAAATATAAACAAGCATGATTCAAGTCATCATTTTAATGCTTTATCATCTAGATATTTTGTTTCTCTGATAATGATTTGCTTGATTAGAGAATTGTTATTAAAATATAATAATTGTTTATACATTAGAAGATTTCTAGAACTTATTTCATGAAAGACTGGTTGCTATATATTACATTAGCTACAATGAAAAGTAAAAATAATAAAATAATAATTGTTATTAAATTAATAAAAAAATTTTAATGAATGATTTAATTAAAAAAATAAAATTTAAGTTTGGAATTTGAACATTAGAATCAATCTTCAGAAATAACATATATAGATTTACTTCATATTTTAAATTGAAAATTTGAAAAATTTGTGACAGTTATATATTATTACAAAGTGAATATAATTATTACTTTTATAACAATTATATAATTCAAAAATACATTAATATTCTGTATACCATAAACAATGTGATCAGCAACATCTCTAATAACTTGTCTCATATCATCGACAACAACATCTGTTCCATAAAGTGAGGAATTACTGCTACTAGGACGAATTTTGTTGAAAGATGAAACTGGATTGAGACCCACATTCAGTTTTGGAGAAGAAGAACCATTGAAATGTTTGGAAGCATGCATAAATTCCTATTTTGCAAAGAAATTTATATAAATTGTATGAAAAATAAAATTTAAATTAGGTAAAAATTTAATATTAAAATTAAATTTTAAATACATTTAAAATTATTTTCATATCTATTTGATTCATACAAGAAATGATAAGATTTTCAATAAAAAAGTGAATATATATTCCACAATTGCAACTATTTACTAATAAACATCAGATCAAATTTTAAATATATTAAAATTTTTTAATAATAGTAAAACTAAAGTTTAANTTTTCTCTTCCACTATTCGGACTTCCGATTGGCCCTTCATCCCCTTTTTCGCTTCCCGATTGGTCTCTCTTTTGTTTTGGGATAAACTGAGACCGCCTCAGGTCACGGGAAAGGTCCGATTCCAGGTGTCTGCTCGACGCCGTTCTGTCGATTGTTGACAAAATTGCAAGACTCACGCTCATAATTTAACTCCGTTACTCGCGATTTCTGTCATCTGGGTACTCGAACGATCATATGCAATGATTTATCTCTCTTAAATCTTTCCCTCTTTTCAGAAATTGTTTCCCTAGATTAACTGTTTATGAGCGCGGGGGTCAAAGTTCTATCTGCATATGACCACTTGACTCTGACTTATAACTTTTCATTCTGACATTGACAGTTAGTTTAACACGTGTTCGAGTCATCCGAGACTTGTTGTCTACATTTTGTGCCGCGTTGTTTAAATTATGGGATTTTCCTCTCCCTCTCATAATTAATCTATCGTTATTATTTAATCATAGGAATATCGCGATTTACATGATTCGGACCTCGGTTGGGTCTTCACATAAGCTACTAAAAGCAGAAGTAACATTAAAACTCCATACAACAAAAATATCAAAGATGAACCCAAGACTCGAGACTCCAGCTAGTTCAATCTTACAATAGACTCTTCGAAATTTAGACCCTCCATCCTTTACAAACAACCCAGATGATTTATGGACACAAACAAAAAGTTGGATTTTAACTGGAGTACAACAATGCATCACACATTGGCCACAGAAAAAGATACATTGGATGACAAATAGTACCCTTGAATTAATAATAAAAGGAAAAAATTATTAACTTCAGCAATCGTTGCAGATGAAAAGAAGAAAGATCTAGACAAAAAAAAAATCAAAAAAGCTTGTAAGAAAGACAAAAATGATTATATCGACAGTATATGTAATGAAATTGAAGTCCATGCAAATAATGATCAGACTCGTGAACTATATGATAAAGTTAGATATCTAGCAAGAGAGTTCAAACCACGTACGCAAACAATTAAAAATGATGAAAATGAAATCATAACTGATGTGGAAGGGATTGAGGATGTCTGGAGGTAGTATTGTGAGAAACTTTATAAAGTCACTGGACAAACAAATGATAATAATCAACTTCAGAATGGATGGACAGGGGAAGTTGAGCCATCTATTCTTAAATCAGAGGTAGAAAAAGCCATAAATACATTAAGAAATCACAAAGCTCTAGGACATGACAACATAACCTCTGAAATTTTAAAAGCAATGGGAGAACTGGATGTTGACATTTCTTAAAATCTGCTCCTTAAAGAATCTTCACACACTGGATTAATGTAAAATAGTCTCTTAACAAACCTTTAACCAGTGGGAAATTGCATGGACAATTATTCATATTTCCCACTGGTTAAAGGTTTGTTAAGAGATTATTTTATACCTGCTCCTTAATTTGGAAATCTGAGAAATAGCCAGAGGAATGGTGTAAATCAATATTTATTTCAATTTATAAAAAAGGTGCATCAACAGACTGTAGTAATTACAGAACTATCAGCCTAATTAACCATGCCAGTAAAGTAATACTCCAAATAATTAATACAAAAATTATTAAAATCATACAATATTGTTCTTGTCCTCACATTTAATAATATCAAAATCACGTTAAAAAATAAAGAATCAATTAATAAGAAAACAGACATAATGCAAAATAACAATGTAGTATAAAAAATATTGTGTAAATTTCCAACCAAAATATTAACATTTAGGTGATACAGGAAGAACATTAATTAAAAACTAGGATTAGAGAACATCTTTGTGCAGTCAAGTACAATTACACCAATTCCTCAGTGCCATANGACATAATGCAAAATAACAATGTAGTATAAAAAATATTGTGTAAATTTCCAACCAAAATATTAACATTTAGGTGATACAGGAAGAACATTAATTAAAAACTAGGATTAGAGAACATCTTTGTGCAGTCAAGTACAATTACACCAATTCCTCAGTGCCATACATTGTAATCAAGGGGACTGTGAGGTCTTGCCAAATAATGTTAAAATTCTTAAAAAAAAAAAAAAAAAACTTTATGAACATTTAGAAATCACTAAAATTAAAGAAAACAGAATGAATTTAAAACACAGGAGTAATTATCGATGAGATTGGACAGCCATTACCACAAAATTAGACAAGCCAATTGTGGATCCCTTCCAATCCCCTTTCACCCTCATGTGTTATAATGCACCATATCCTGTATCTGTAAATATCAATTTGGCTGAAGAAAATACAATTCAGTAAAGTTTTTAAGTAATTAATAAGTTCTTTCTAATCTATATATATAAAAATGAATGTATGTCTGTCTGTCCTTCATACCATTTATCTGATTGCCATGAAACTTTGGGAAGTTGTTTAATACACTCCCACAAAGGTTTCTGGCATAGTACATTTATGCTACAATAGGTGGCGCGTGTGTATATGAGCCTGTCTGTTTGTCCTTCATGCATTATTACACCATTTATCCAATTGTCATGAAACTTTGGAAAGTTGTTTAATATACTCCTGCAAAGGTTTCTGGCATAGTACATTTATGCTATGATAGGTGGTGCGCATGTATATGAGCATTTCATATATAAAGTTGACATGAAGAGTGCATGCGCATAAGTTTGCTTTATTCGAACTCTTTGTCTTAATGTTTGATTTTATGTTTGAATTTATATTTATGAATGATTCTGGAAGATCCAGCTTATTTTTCGAATTTAGTAAACCTGAAGAA